CAGTTAAAAATTTCACGCACCAGCACATGAAAGCTGAATTCGAAACCTTGAAGGGTGAATATGTTTCCGCAACTCCCGAGTTAATAGTTTATCCGCCAAAATTTTCATGAGGCCGTAGGTGATACTCAAGAGCGCGGGAACGCTGAATTTGAATAGGCAAGGTTGAGCGTGGGCAGGAGGTTATTACTCTAAAATTTCAGCTTCCTAGACCTCGTGGTTCCCGAGATAATAATTTACCCGTAAGAAAATTTCACAGGGCCGTACGTGTTACCCGCGGGTACGGGGAAGCTGAATTTAAATTTGCGGGGTCACACATGGGTGGGGAACGTTCCCCTAAATTTCCCGCAGGTACGGGGAAGCTGAATTTAAATTTGCGGGGTCACACGTGGGTGGGGAACGTTACCCTAAATTTTTACGGGGGAGCTGAATTTAAATTTGCGGGGTCACACGTGGGTGGGTAACGTTCCCCTAAATTTTCAGCCTTGTGGTTCCCGAGTTGAAAGTTGCGGACAAGTTGCTGCGGGCACACACACACACACACACACAAACAGTGGTTTCCGAGTTGAAAGTTGCGGACAAGTTGCTGCGGACACACACACACAGACAACCCCGTAACAATCTCCCGAGTTGAAAGTTGCGGTGGGGAACGTTACCCTAAATTTTCAGCTTCCTAGCTTTTGTGGTTCCCGAGTTGAAAGTTGCGGACCAAGTTGCTGCGGACACACACACACACACACAAACACACAACACAGACATTCGAGTTGAAAGTTGCAGACAAGTTGCTGCGGACACACACACACACACACACACACACACACACACACTGAGTTGAAAGTTGCGGACAAGTTGCTGCAAACACACACAGAGACAATCCCGTGACAATATGCGTTTTGTACTGCTGTTACACAGCACAAAACGCATAATAACTAGTTAACTGCCATTGAAAGGCCGAACAAATGTAGAAGCGGAAATTGGCTTATATGTATAACGCAGGGGAGTAAGTCGAACCGATGAAGACGATGAAGAGTAGGTCAATACGAGCGCTAAAATATGAATAAGTCAAAAACTTGAAACTCGCGTGGCAACTGTAATCATCCAGATAGTGACTAGCATATGCCAAAAGCAATCATTTGCTTGCAGTGCCGTAAACTTTTTTTCAATAAAGTTATTGTGCTCCAAAGCTTTACTTCGACAGTTTGATCAGCTCGTTCCTTTCGATTTCATGAAACTGGCTTCTTCTGCAATCTTCTCCACCTTGAGCTTCTCTTATCTGTATTTTTGTGCGTTTTTTGCAGCTATGCAATGCAGAAAACGCATATTGACGAGGGGTTGTCTGTGCGTGTGTGTGTATCTGTGTATTCGTCTGTACCGATTTTTCATCTCGAAACCTACACAAGCTACGTGGCTGGAATTTTGGGGGCTTAATCTACATGCATGTACGGGCCACCCATTCCTAAAAGCGTGGTACCCACGTACGAGCCCTCCATAGTTTTTTGCGGGTAAGCTGCTAACTCAAGAACCAGAAATGCCGGGAGTTTGAAATTTAAAGGGGACGTTACCCCTCCAAGTAGGTATGAATGAGCTCAAGCACAGCTCCCAGTAAGCGTGGTACCTACATACGGCCCCGTCAAAGTTTTTTTCTGGTAAGTCGGGAGTCTGAGAGTCGGGAATCAAACTCGGAAATCTGAGAAACTAGAAGACTGGAATTTTGAAGGGATGTTTCCTAGCAGTCCTGACGGCCACCCTGAAATTCCTTTAGCTAGAAGCATCTGCCGGAAATACCAGTGCCGTTAGCGACAAAAATCTGTGGGGAGTTATGCAAAAAACACATCTTTGCACGGGCAGTCTGTGCGTTGGCCAATTATTCACATATAAGCTCGATTTGGTCCATCCACCACACTGATGGCTTCTTGTTTTTCAACAATATGTGTGATATTTTGTCCATCTGTTGCTCTCAATTTACCATACGATTAGCACAGCTCTTTCTTCTGGCGTACACTGCTTTGATAATATCACTCAGGCTGAAACAACAGTACTTCTTTTGAGATGAGCTGCAACTTGTCGATACAAAGCCTCCTCGTTCCACGGTTCATTGGATTCCTCTTCAATGATCGTTTTATTCCATGTTTCATTTTCATTCAACCGAACTGATAAAACAGTGAAATTGAAAAGTGTCGCTTTCACAATCGATGATAGGTTAGTTTTCGGATAAGCAATCTTTTACAGTAGCAGGGTTTGGAAGTGAAAAACAAATCCATTAACACTGCATTTTCCAGGAATATTTTTATGCAATCCTTTGTTCTGATGCATAGTTAGTGTTGCAATTGCTTGCCGCCGTGAAATTCGCCTCCAAAGCTCAGAAATGTAGCACATAACAGTACAGGCTAGGCCAAGTGACCATTCACCCGTGAAACTGGAAAAGGCGAGAGAGAGCGAACGATATGCTCTTTCCTTCACGGTGAAAAACACATAAAAAGCTTCCAAAAATGAACAGCTCGGATTTTTAAGCCACTTTATCATTCGGATTAAGCCATTAGCTCGGAATAAGCCATTAAGCCACTTTATCACAGCGTCATGTTAGATCGGTAATCAGGAACCAAATGGTTCACGCCTTAGCTGTTGTTCCGCGTACCATGCACTGCAGTTGCGTTGCCACTGATGCTGTGACGAAGAATGGCTGAGCTGACTGAGTGTGACGAAAGTTGTAACGAAGATTGGTTGAGATCCTTGAGTTTGAGGCGAAGGTCGGCTGAGTTGTGCACAGCTGCTTCGTAGTGGAACTGATGGTCGACCGCTGTACTGATTGTTGACAGGCAAAACTGCGCAGCAGGCACTGCGTTGAATTCATTTATGTTAAAACGACGATTATGGCAGGGGACAATGAGATGAACAAAGACAAAAATAATCCCCAGCAAATGGGAAAGGCCTTTATAGTGTGCAAGGTCGGGCGAGCGGGTAGCACTAGTTGACCAAGGTTGAGCGGCATGAACCACCGAGTGTCAATGCACAACTGATTACGAAAGCGCTTGGATCGCTTTCGTGACAGATGCATCCTTCAGCACTGACTTTCGTTAGCTTGGTAGATGAGTGCGGAGATACAGAGCGGAAAGACCGCGAAAAGACCTCAAGACCTCAATATACGAACCTCAGTAAGCGGAATGACTACGCACGTCTTAAAGAAGCCAAGAAAAATGGCACCAAAAGCTTACCTTAAACGACTGGGGTTCGTATATTGCGAGTTGAGAAAGAACTATGTTATCTAGCTCAATGTGTGCCTTTGATAACATATTCCGGAACGCTGGATAATCAAAATGATATTCGGCCAACGCTGCTTCCACACGTTGTGCCGCATGCTGTAAAGTTGAGAAGAGAATGTTGAAAATTCACAGCATACGAACAGTCGCAAGCAGATATTATGTAAACTGATAAATATTTGTATTTTTAGCAAAAAGAAAAGCAATTTTCAACATAAAGATTGCTACAGGAAAATGATTCTATTTATACATATATAAAGATAGAAAGAATGTAATTCAACACAAAGACTGTTCTTTTTACAATTCATTAATTCGTTTCGATGGTAAATTGGTACTGATGCATGCCAAGGAATTGAAACCGGTATCTGCTTGCTTCTGAAAACCCCTTGAAAGGAAGACACACCGAGAGCCTTATCGGCAAATAATTACTTCTGGCATTTATTACCACTAGAACTAATTCCTCCTCCGCTGTTCCTCGTAGTAAATATATGGGGAGGTGAGATTTCAACATTTTAATGCATCTTTTTTGTTAAAAAATTTGCTTAGGCAGGATCGAATTTCCCAGCATAAAATTCCTAGTATTTCCCATCAAATTTCCCAGCACAAAATTCCCAGCATTTCCCATCAAATTTCCCAGCAGAATCAAATTTCCCAGCAACGTGAACTCTATTCTACGCACTCAGGCAATCTTGTCGCTTCAATTTTCTACAAAGCTCTGGATACTGTTATTACAGAGTTCGCATCTGCGTTTTTGTTCATTCGACTTTATGAGGCCCATGGGACCGTATAATGCAGACACAATCATCCCAGCCAACGCCCTTTCCACTGCATGCGGGAAGCAACAAAACTCTTGAAAACCCTACAGGCTTATATAAAGACAGTTACAGGAAGCATTAGTTGCAAAAATACATCCCTCATTCTGCTGCCGTGGAAAAGTACCACTGCAGCAATGTGTGGAAGCATCCTAGTAATATCATTAATATGGGTTCATCATACCGGTTGCCTGGGCAGTTTTGGTACATTTGGTAAACAAAAAAGGGAATTCCACGGGCAAAAGAAATACGCTGATCGCACTGCTGGAAATTGGTACTGTTAGGCCCGTTACGTGGTCCTTGACTGCAGTAGCGGTAGACAGAGAAGAAACACCAGCAGTT